ACCCAGAGGTTTAACGAAAATGTGCTAAAACGCACCGAGGTGTTTGCTACCAAGAAAGAAAAAAGAAAAAAAAATGACACATGGATTTTCTTTTACACAAAATAATTCAGATGTTTATTGTGTGCTGCTTCACAGCAAACGCTCAATATGTCGCTGTATTTCCTCTGCCGTGCTCTTATTATTGTTGGCAGAACCAGAAGACAGGCCTTCACAAGGCCTCTGGCTAATCATGTCTCAGTTACCAATGCGAACAGGCACACTCGCATACTGTAAGCAGAAAGCATCTTTGTAGTTCTGCACCACAAACTGTTGAATATGGATGCAGGTCTGAGTGATGCAGTCCGTCACAGATAGCTGCAGTGGCGCTCGGCAAGAATGAATCATCGTTGTGGTTTAAGAACAAACAGATGTGGTTTATATATGACACTACCACCACACCACAGGAATGTTAGCAGTCTTGTTTTATTTGATCACAGTAACAAAACTGGATCTTGTAATGCTTTGGAATAAGTCCAGACCTGTGTATCTCTACATTATGTCACGTCCCAAGCACAAACTTCAATTTATTTTATGTGGTAGACCAGCACAAGGTAATGCATAATTGTAATTTTGAAGGAAAGGCCTTCATGGTTCTCAGTTTATAATTTTACCAATTAAAATCTTAAATGTTTGTATGCATTTATGGTAAAATAAACTTTTGAATTCATCAGTTTCAAGCGTTTTACTAAATGTCTCCACATTTCCACATTTAGACAGCAAATTTTGGCCCATTTTTTTATATATATATATATATCTCAAGCTTAGCTAGCAATAATTTGTGAGTTTTGCACAATCAGAGCAACTTTACTACACGTTAAATATAGCATCTACAAATTGCAGATAGGACTTCTCAGGGCTTTCTTCATCTCGCAGCACAACCAATAGATGTTTTACCACTGATTCTCCTACCTGAGCTGTGAATGTATGCAGCTCCTCCAGTACTGCTGCTTCCTTAATTATTGCCTGGACAGGTTTCCTATGCTTGCTTCTAGATGATTGATTATAATTTGAAGGTGCTCCATGAAATGCTTTATTTGTGAAGTTGTAGATCAATACATAGGAATAGTAGAAGTGTGACCTTAAATCAGATTGATTTGCATTCGATGGATTTAGATTTCTCTGGTTCTTCTTGATGAACTCACCATAATCATCCGGATCCAAGGGCAGTTGGTTTTCTTTGCTGTGAACGAAACTTGTGTTTGAGCTGCAGGCTCAGTTTACAGCCTGTTTATCTTCATGTTGATTTCACACCTGTTAGATGGTGATTTTAAAACGGACTCCGGTTTAGTTGTCAAGTAAAGCATTGCGACTGCTATTTTATTCCTATTCCCACACAGAATAACGTTATCAAAGCTCCCAAGCTGTGCTTTAAAGAGCCTGTATTTACAGGGGGATTCTCCAGTTCTGGTTTGACAGAAGTGTTATAGATTTAGATCTTAGATAGTTGAGATAGTGATTTATTTTCCTCTTAATCAGAAGTTGGAATTCAACATTCAACATGTTCCCACTGACAATCCAGTCCAGTCCAACAACATGAATACTTTGCACTTAAATATCCAGAATGTTATAAAAAATCTGATGGGAAAATCAGGTGATTTTCTTTTCTTGTCATTTAATCCTGAATTGTGTGTGTTTGTACCTGAGTGAGTGTTAACTGGAGGTCGGGGTGTCTGGCATCGGCAACTTTCTTCTGATTCCTCCAAGTACACCGTCTGAGATTAATTTGTGCTCGTCCTTTGATGAACCGCGGCATTTGGTGGTTCTGGCGTGAGATGCCGGCTTCACCATGGGGTGCAGCAAACTCTGCGCTTGGTCAGGCCCGGCCTCCCCACATCTAATGGGCAACAGCTTGAATAGTGCCCACTTAAGCAGGCTGTGCGTACTGGGCTCCCTTTTTTCCTTCCTCACGGCTCCAGCCAGCTAGCCGGCCAGCCGCCGCCTCTGCCACCTCCCACTTACCCAGCAGCCACTGTACCTGGCTGCAGCCCCAGAGCCATTCCAGCCTACCTTAGGCCGCTGGCCCATGCAGCTCCCGCCATACTTATCAAGCTGTCCTGCAGTGCAGCGGGCCATGCATATACAAACAGGCGCAGCTATCTGCTAACTGAACATTCAGTCTATTGCCTCAAAGGCCCAAACAAGTTCCAGAGACCATTCACCAATTAACTGGCTGGCAGATTATCGCCCAAGGAGATCTGAGCGGCCCCAGCCCTCCGTATCCAGCCTCTGCTCACGCCGGCGCCCCAAACACCTGCTCCAGGTTGGCTTCCCGCTGACACTTCTCCTTTCGCTGCCTGTTTTTATGCTTTCATTTGGTGGTAGCCATTTTGTGCTTACTTTTAATTGGGTGAGCAGAATGGCGTGGGCTGCCTAAACCACATTAATTTGATTTACTAACTTCAGTTTGAATTTAAGTCAAGTTAAAGTCGATCCAGTCCCCCGCTCCCCGTGCTCCAACCTAAAGAAGTAGATGTTTAATCCGTTTATCCTGTGTGTCCTCTTTGCCTTGGAAGGTAATGGAGAGAAGCATGAGCAACCAGATGCCAAATGTTTAGCTCTCTTGTCTTTTTTGCTTCCCTATCTTCGGTTTTTGTCACCCTCCTCTTCATCACCACCACTCTATAGCTGACTGCTGGAACTTTCTGGCGATCTGTCTGATGCTAATTGGTGGGTAAACAGGTCTGGTGTGAGCTCCCCCTCCGCCCCCCTGTTCCTGATCACACACGCACACACGCAAGCTCATCGTACACACACACATAGACGAATACACGGCCCCCTGGAACCTCTTGCAGGACCAAATGGCTGGCAATGCCTGCCCGCCGTCTCCCGCTGAGCCCTGGTGTGCGCTTTGGTGGCTCAGGCTGCTGTTCAAGCCCAGCGGGGGTTCATACACTCACACTCATACGCGTACAGATACACACAGTCTCCTTGTGTCCCCTGCACACCCGCCACCCGCTTTCACACCCCAGACAGCAGGACAGCAGGAGAACACACACACACACACGCACACACACACACACGAAGGAACAGACAGACGCGGTCACTTTAGAGATACAGGCCAAGCGCTGTAGGGGAGAAAAGTTTTCACTTAAACTGGAGAATTCTCTCTTCATTAGCGCCTTTGGACTTCAGGAAGAGTTCTGTTTATTTGTTCGTTTTTGTGTGTGTGTGTGTGTGTTGTGTTTTTTTTTTCCCTCCTGTCTTTGTAGTTTTTCTTCTCTCTCTTTCTTTGTCTGTCTCTCTGTTGTCTCGATGCGATTGGACTTAGTTGAACGGTAAAGTTTGATTCAAGCAGGAACAGAATGCTACCTTGGTTTGGATCTTACCTGCTCGGTCCGGATGATTAAAAGGGTTTGAATGAAACCAAGAATTATCTGCTACTCAGTCAGTAGGTTCTGTACCGACTCGTGTCGGATATGTCAGGAGTTGATGGTGCTGCCGTTGCACGCATGAAAACAAAATGCACAATTTTAACTCTGTAACAAATCATTGGAAATGTTTGTTTTTTTAATTACAGAAGGATTTTTAATCAAGTTTTCAGCCTTGGCTCTGAACCTCAGCAGTAATTGAAACCAGTCTGCAGTAAAACAGAGGTTTATGTGTCGCAGACAGCAGCTATGTTACCCATGGGTCGCCAAGCTGACGGCAGCGTTCAGCCCCTCGTGTGTCATCTGTCCTCTCCTCCTCCATCATCCTCTTCCTCACTCTTTTCTGCACTTTCCTACAACTTGTTTCAGAAACACGAGTTCAGCACGCTGGAGCACAGCTTTCAACTCATGCCGGCACCCTTCATTTTGTTTGAAAACTTTGTGATTGCAGCCGGTGAAGACTTTCTGACAAACTAAGCCTGATTTTATTTGATCTGATAAGCCGACACACAGTCGTTCACAGTTGAGAAGCAGAATGAAGAGGTTAAATGGTTTTCACAATGAAAATGCTAATAAAAATGTGAAATGAGTCATGTGCATCCCTTACACTTCTCCCCAGAATGACTTCTAGTCCACTTAATTTCTTTTACAAGTCACCTAATTAGTATATGGCCTATTTTACAATTCATATTGTGCTTTACAGAGTCTGCTATACTGCTAATAGTTTCTGGAACCGATTTTTTTCTCTACCAGCTTTTACTACTTAAGACGATGATGTTTACACTGCTTGTAAAATAGCTCAGGCTCAGTTAGATTAAATTTAGAGCAAACATTTTGTTTTTGCCTCGAATTCTCAATCTTATTTACCTCTGAACTTTGACTGGGCCATTCTGACACAGTACGCTTTAAGCTGAACCATTATAGCTCTGATCCAGCCTCACGTCTTTTGCAGGTTTTCTTCCAGAATTGCCCGATATGTAACTCCAGATCCATGTCTCCGTCAACTCTGAGCAGCTTGTTTATCTAAGGAAATACATCCCCAGAGGATGATGCTGCCATCACAAGATTTTTTTTATGCCTCACTTTGCAAATTTAGGCAAAAATACACTTTTGGTTTTATCTGACCAGAGGCGTTTCTTCCACATGTTTTCCTGTGTCTTTTCCATTGATTACGTTTTCTTCCACCTCACAATTATGTCCCTCTAAAGCAAATATACTTTAGTTGAATAAAATGGGAAATGTTTTTAGTTTAGTTTCAAGTTTAATTGACTCCATTGTGTTTTAACCTATCATGACTATTTTGGGTCAGCGTCGTAGAACCAGGTAGCATCAGATACTTTGCTTTACACATTTATAGTTTTGGATCAATGCATGCATTTCCTTTCTGTTTTCTCCACAGTTTTAATCATCTGAATCCAATCATGTTCGGTTTTACTGATTTCTTCCTTTTAGTTGTGACACCATCATGCTTTTAGTCTATAGTCTGGAGTTTTTATGTACACAGAGGTGGTGTTTTTCTAAGGTTAAAAAGTTCATTTGATGCTGATGCTTTGAGAACATTAACTGTTGGTGTTTTTGTGCGTTTTTCCTCAGACAGGACAGAGAGAGTGCGGAGCGGGCTCATGCAGAGGAAATGGCGTCTGTGACCCTTTCAGTGCGGGAACGGGAGAAGGAGCTGGCTGTCATGCTGCAGAAAACAGAGGCTCAACACCTGCAGAGAGGTCGGTGCTTCAATGCTCAGGATTTACACTCCGTTTTCTTTCCATTTCTTTACTATTATCCAATAACTTTGAGTGTTAGTTCTGAAACTTTTCTCTCTTATCTTGGCATCACCCTCCAGTCCTATTTGCCTTATCCTCACCATGCCTTTTTTATCTTACACTTTACTGCTTCGTGTTAGTTTTCAAATAGCTTTCACATGTATAACACTCCTGTCACATTTTGTTTAGCTTTGTTTTGCACACAGTTTTCAATCGGTGAATATATTACTGTTCGCAGCAGATTGGCAGATGCTCATACTTCACGTACTCAACTACTTGGTGCTGCATTACTACATCTCTACTGCTGCTGTAGGCTGGATAGAAGTCAGTAATAATGATGATTAAATGCTAAATATAGAACGTCTGAATATAGACACACATATGCCTTTACGGTGGTTATAAGGCAGGTGGAAAGTGGGCGTGAATCTTCACATATGGCTGCATTTGAAGGTTTTCAGTGACAAACCACACTTTATAAAATCTTGACTTTTTACCCACAGGTTTTGCTGTAAATGTGTGTTTTGATCAAATATTTTGTCATAATCTTCCATTAGAGACTCAGTGTTTATTGCAGAATAACATAACCCAGAAACTGATCAGATATTTAACAAATCTATCAAACAATAACATTGATAAATCTCTATCAGTAGGGGCTGATATTGTTCTCCTGAAAAGATAATTTTGTTAAAATTTAG